TTCAACCAAAAATCAACGATTCTAACTATTTTTCAACGTTGATTTAACATCATGTGCTATCTGGGCATCTATATAATTTCCCTCTGGGATTAATGTTTTGCAATTGAATTTGAATTGCATTAAACATCTGGATGATTTGATTAAATTATCTCTATAGTTCTGGTGAAGTCAGTGTGTATTTTTCAAATTAAGAAGTTATTTCCTGAAAAACAAATTATTACTTGAACAATGTTTTTTTTACCATTATACCATTTTTTTTTTTTTTTACACCTGGATTTGACATTTGACAGTTCGTTTTATTGTAAAGCGCCTCAGTACATTTGTATTTTCTCCTGCAGAGGCTTATTTATATTTACCCAAGTCATTCTAGAGTGCTACTGTTGCAAAATATATATTCTGAATAGCTTGGTATGGAGGAACACCAAAGGACTTTAAATAGCTTTCCTGGCTACTTCATGACGTTTTTTATCATGTTTCTTCTAGGCAATTGCTTTACCTCCCATTGCTAAGTGGCCTTATCAGAGCGGGTTTACATTCAACACTTGGTTCAGAATGGATCCTTTGAATAATATCAATGTAGACAAGGACAAACCATATCTCTACTGGTAAGAGCACACCAACACACACTTGTGCTTTTTTATTTCACCTTAATAGTTTTGCTGTTGCAGAGGCTTATGAAGCGAACAGCAGCTTTATTGACAACGCCTTATTATGTCTGATGCTTTGTGACTAACACTGATTGTCTAACCAGTTTATGACTGAATATCGTATCCAAGGTTAAAATAGTTTTCGACGTTATTTGTCACACGCACATGTACAACGTCTTTATAATGTCTTTAGGAAAACGGCCTTGTTTTTCCCCAGATAATGCCACAAATTCTGATGTGGAAATGTAGTACTGCAGCTGGATTACTGAGGGCTTAAAGACACTGCGGAGGTAATCATTTAGATGTGAATAATTGCCACAAAGCGCTCGCATACCGGCTTCTGCTGAAGATTTAGGTAATTATTGTAAAAATCAATGATCCAAAATCGCTGCACTGTCTGGCTCCTTCTCTTTGTTTGTAGAAGAGCCTTTCATTAAAGTCAAAGAGTGTAATTTATGATGGCGAGTAAAAGAATCAGAGTGGACAGAAAAGGTGGAAAGATTCAACTCCCTGACAGGGAAGACTGATTAGGCAGAGATAATAGTCACTTCGGTCTTTATCACCTCTTGGCTGTCGTCGGCGTTTGGGGATCTAAGTGTTTTACCGAAATAAACTCTTCGTCTTAGTAGATCTCTGTTTCTCTGATGTGGCAAATCAAAAAGGGAAGAAGACATGGAGCATTGCACTAGCAAAGGTTTTCATATGTGCCTCCTATTCTACACTGACGGTCACAAAAGAGTTAGATCTGCCAAGCTAATCCTGTTTATGCATTGCTCTGAGTGCCTCGCAGCTCAGCAGCAGGCTTGTAAATAACCAAAAAAAAATAATTGCATCTTTAGAGGCGGACCGAGCTTCTCCAACAGAGTTTCCAAGCTCTGTGATAGAAAGGTGCGGAGATCCATATGTCTTTATGTACGAAACACAGCTGTGGTTGCATCCCTTTGAGGATGGGTCTCTTTGTTTCTTAATCATTACAATGGGTGTTTGAGTCGAGCGTAACAGCTTTAGGCCTTAAGACTGTAAAAGCAAATTTAGCACGTGTCAGCAGAATAAAAGATGTGCAAAAGGAATCTGTTTGCATCTGCATAGAGTGGCCTGTGCACTGTTTGTTTTTATATGCAGTTTGCACTTCCAGTCAAATGATCTGGTGATGTTTGATTGAAAAGATGAGGCAAAATATTACTACAACCATAATTATCATCACATAATTCAGATGCATGCAAGATTTACCTCCTGGAAGTGACACGCTGTCACGTTTTAAAATAATTCAAATATGATTTTAGCAGAAAACCCCAAAAAGCCCTCAGAAATTCTTATAAATTCTTCCCTTTAAAAACGGTTCTAATACCAGATTTCAGTTATTGTTTGGTGTATGCTTGATTTCAAATAGACAACAGTCTAAGTCTCAAAACGTAACTGTGCACTATAATGTACATTTTGCCAAAAAAAGAACACAGTGAATGACTAAAGGTGTAACTTACATAATTTTGTCTAATCTTCCTCTTAGATTTCAGATGGTCTAAATTGGCTTAAGATTCTTTTTGAGCATAAAATAAGTTTTGAAATGTTTTCTTGCAGCTTTCGGACCAGCAAAGGCATTGGCTATTCTGCACATTTTGTCGGGAATTGTTTGATTGTCACATCGCTGAAGTCTAAAGGGAAAGGCTTCCAGCACTGTGTGAAGTTTGACTTCCAGCCCAGGAAGGTACGTTTGTTTCGATGCTTATTTGAGTAGTAACTTTGAAATTAATACGTTCTTCATTGCAGTGGCATAGTTTTGGGCGCATTTATTCTTTAGAGAATAATAAACGCTGTTTTCAACTAAAAGGCGGTACCAGAGTTATTGAAATTTAAGCCTTTCAACCCATGTAACAATAACATTTTTTAATTTATGCTTTATTTCTTTATTCTCTTTCTGGATTCTTCTCATTTCTTTGGGGAAAGAATTTGGGGACTTTAATTAAAATTTTAAATAGGTAAAAAAGAAATAAAAACCTCCCCAGCATTTTAAGCATATTTTGTTGGTTGTTTTAACCCAGCAGTTTTTGCTACATTTATTATCACTTACCCTAAATCTATCTTTTTTTTTTTTAATTAGTACCGGTTTAATTGTCACCTGAGTTGTTTAAAACTCAGGAGTCTTACACGTGCAAATGTGGATTAGAGAACCAAACCTAATTTATTGTGGTGTGTTTCGGTGGTGTAGCTGTCCCTGTGGAGCAGAAAAACTCACCTGACACATGTGAAACAATTAGAGGCTTCGCATAACACTCGAGGAAAGCAATTTGTCTCATTCCAGGAGTCAAAGTGTAGGTTTTGTATTGTTGAAGCTGTTCAGAGATAAAGTGCATTAATTAACTTTTTAATTGATTTTTGGGTTCAGACATTAGTGAATAAGTGCGTTTCTAAATGATGCCCAGACAGCCTTCACTTTTCTGCTCAACCATGAATCTTCTTTAACACAATGTTACCTCTATGGGTCGACGGCTCCTTTCTTCAGTCGAGCCAATAAATAATTGACTCTGGTTCACAAAAGAGTTGCATGGTTTTGCCATCTATTCACTTCTAAGCAGTAAGTAAGTACAATTTAGGTTTCCTTAGGAAGTAGTCCAAATAAAGTATTTTAGAGTGAAGAAGCAAACAGTCCCCAAGTATTAAAATACATTTTTTCAAAATCAGTATCTACTGAATTTTATTTTCATTCACACCTAAATTGTGAAGTTCATATGTTTATTTTATCTTTATTGTTTTTTTCAGAACAAATGCATATTCACATTCTGAGCATCCAGATTATTTATGTTTTTTCTGTTTTTCTTTTCTTTTTTTTTAATTGGAGCTGCGTGGTATGTGGGGAAGAAGGCAACATATTGTTGCACATTGCAATTACAATTTTCAAAATTGAAATGTGTGATTAATCCACGTTGTTCTCACTTTTCCTCTTGCTTTTCCTTCAGCACAAATTTCTCACCACTTAAAATTCAAACATTTCTCATCTGAAATCTTCAGCATGTTTGTGTCGTGATGTCAGTGAAAGTCCATTCAACTGGCCATTTGCATTCAGAGCATTAACAAACAACCCCTGACATCCAAGCAGTCTTTTGTAATTGCAATATTCTGCATGCTGACATGTCCCCGATGACAGCAATTTAAAATACTGTAGAGCTCTTTACAAAGCTTAAACCTAAAAAAATCAAGGTTCAGAGTCACTCGGTAGCTTCTTTCCTAAAGATGGAGTCTAAGCACCCCTCTCCACCGTATTATTTCAATTGTGCAAAGGAAAAATGAGAACGGCTGATGTGGTTTTTGAAAATGAACACCTCTGGAGCTCATTTCCTTTCAATCTGACTCACTCTTCACCTCCAGTGGTATATGATCAGCATAGTTCACATCTACAGCCGCTGGCGGAACAGTGAAATCCGATGCTACGTAAACGGACAGCTCGTTTCTTATGGCGACATGGCGTGGCACGTCAACACAAATGATGTAAGTGCTCCTTACTTGTCGCACATTTTAACGCATGGTTGACAGGGACTTACACATTGACGCTTTGCATTTCCAGTCATTCACATTATGAAAGGCTAATTTTCAGTCCCTTAGCAAGATGACATGGTCTAGTTTCCATCCAGTTATGCAATTAGGCAGATTTTAATGTTGAAGATATATTTTTAAACATGAAGGCCCCAAAGAACCTACAGTAACACAAGACTGTTTTAAAATTGTATTACTTTTTTACAAAAGAAGGAATGAAGTGTTTTTTTTTTATGTGCGTTTTAGACTATCTGTATGCTTTCACACTTTTCAGTTCTGGAAATATTCTGCTCAGCTTATTGCAGATCTCTGTTGTTTTGCGGTGAAGATATTTTTCATTTGAGTGGAAAAAATCAATGAGTCATAATTATTCTGTGCAGCACGATATTTTTAATGTGCTGGTAACAGAGAATAAAGCTATTTAAACCAAGAATAGACATTTTACTATTTATGCCATAAGGATTTGTATAGTTCACAAATCTGAAGTTGACTTCTGAATATCCTGATTCATGAAGAGCTTTTTGACATCTGGACTAATTTGGATCACCCGTTTTTCTACATGTTTTGCACTTCTACTTTTTAAATGCAGTCTTTGTACTTGTTTCTAAGTATCATTTGTGTTACCTTTCATTTATTTCTACAGAAAGGAAAAAAAAAAACTAGTTTCGGTGGTTTCATTTTGATGGAATGTTGTAAGCTTTGCTGCTTACACATTTTAAGAAGAAACTAAGGAAATTGGCTATTGTATGGACATAAATCCTAATTGTAAAATAGTCCACATATTTTGCACTTCGCTGTGATCATTAATGTGGCTGCTGTTTTCTCTTTTCCCCCCTGTGATTCTGTCTGTTCTGAAGGTGCATTTTTCTAATTTACAGACTAAATTGCTACATTTTTTCTCTTTATGTAATAATCCGTTTGAAAATGTTCCTAACTGCCCTTTCCTTTACATTCCCTTCTTTCAGAGCTATGATAAGTGCTTCCTCGGGTCTTCAGAAACAGCCGATGCAAACAGAGTGTTCTGTGGGCAGCTAGGAGCTGTCTACGTATTCAGTGAAGCTCTCAATCCGGCACAGATTTTTGCAATTCATCAGCTTGGACCAGGCTATAAGGTATGTGCTTGTGGGTGACTAAATTAGATTACATATAAGCAGTCTGAATCATCCATCCATTTGTGTAATCAATGAGAAGCGCTGCCCCGTAGTTCCTTGCCTTATGTCCTGCTTTTCCTGCCAGATAAACGGCTGCATAAATTACCTATTCCTTGGAAATAATAGCGCGGCACGCTGAGGGAAAGCTGCAGGAACTCGGTAAAGCGACTCAGTCCTGAGCCAACTTATATCAGCTGCAGCAATGCTGCCTAAAAAGCATCAAATCATGAATGTGAATAGAGAAACTTTGACTTGCCGTAAAAGGAGCTGCAAATAATTTTTTTCACACTGTGACAGTTTTAGCTCGTTTAATATGAGGTGTAATTCAACGTTGTTTTATTTGTTTTTAAATGTCTGCCAAGATTGTTCAGTTTACTTCTTCTCTTTACACTCTCATTTTTACCCCTGATATTTGGAGAATTGAGCTTCTTTAAACTCAATACTTGCACCCTGTTATAAAAAGTCAATAAAAGGCACTGCAAAACCGCCTCCAAACACATAATGTCTCACACAGTTTATATCAGAGGGGATTGTTTTGACGCTGAAATGTCTGTTTTGTTACTAAAGCAAAAATAGACTCTTTAGCAAAAACAATGTTCTATACTTCATCATAACTTTAAAAATGGATTATAGGTATGTAGGCCTTCCTTTCATTAATGGGATCGTCCTTTTTTTCCTAGTCTATTTAAAACTGCTTCCTGAATGAAGAAACCTGCACTACATTTTCCTTTTGTATTGTAATGTTAATGTTAAAGTGTTACATTTATTTGTTAAATCAATACAACGTTTGCACAGATGACTTAAATGTGAATCCTTTGATGGAGAAAGTCGGGACGTTCCTCAAAATGTTGTCTATTAAGAGTTGAGTTGGTGAAATCTAGTTTCAGAGATATATAGTTTTTTTTTTTTTTTAATATGACTTTCAGCCAAATAATGTAAAACCAAGCAGTGTTTGAACTACGCACTATTACTTGGGAGAAAATGAGGCAATTGTTCAAAATTCTGAAGTGATGACCGGGGTCCATAAAGAAAATTACCTGTAAGTGATGGAGCTCTGATAAGTAATGGAGAATATAATAAATCTAGCCTAGTGGGTTGCTATAATTAGGAAGTTGTCCAGCTGTCAGGAATCCTTCCTGTTTTAATTAAGAGCTGCAGGGATATGCGTTAATGCAGGAGATTACAGCACGCATTTACTGCTGTACATCCACAGTTTGGCTCAGTCTTTGGAAAGAAACCTCTACACTGATGTGGGAGTATTTTCTTTTTTTTTAATCTCTGCTTACCTCATCTGCGTTTGATCTTTGACACGCTTTCTCTTGCTTGTACAGTGCTTTGAATGCAACTGTAACTTCTCGGGCTTTTCTGAACATATAGATTATTGCTTCAGCGGGTCAACATTTTCTTGCATTCTATGATTTGTGGCCATGAAGCTCAAAAAAGCTGTCTGCAAAATAATCTACAAGTTCTCTTTAAAATTCCGCTTGCTAGACTTGATTTTGACCTGGAAGACTTCTGTGCATTTCATTATGAGCATATTTACGGCTGTGTCTTTGCATTTGTTCCAAGGATGTAGAACATCTTTAGAAATGTACTGACGATTTAAAGAGAAAATGTTGAGAATATGTGTACTAAAATTGACAGAAGCGTGCTTAAAAATATTCTTCACGATATGTTGCTGCAGTTTTCTTAGAATGTATTTTTATACCCCAGAGAGTTTGATGCTGCTGATCTACATGGTACAATAAAATAAATATCAACACTTTAAAAGACATCTTTACTTGTAAATTCTCAATCCGTCATAAGTTTCCACTGGCAGATTTGCTGCACACTAAGTATTAATCACTGATTGGACTCGTCAAAGCAATTAAGCCATGACTTTGCATGTTTTCAAATGATGCACTTGGTTATTTCTATCCTTACCCTCTATCTCTGTTGCCATACGTGGGCTACAATAGGCAGATTAGCCCTCTGAATTTGTGCCAGCGCTGCTCTGCAGAATGCACCACAAAGTGCCGTAGAAGAGACCGACTTGCACAGCTGTGTTTCTCCTTTCAGGAAAATGAAATGCAACGTCAATGTAGGCTACGGATCAGAAGGTGTAATCTATAACCCTAGTGCAGATACAGAACAGCCATGACACCAGAAGTTAAAAACAAAGAATAATCTATACAGAGAAAAAAAGAAATCTTTAAATGAATCTGATTGACCAGGTTTATTATCCTTTGCAGGAGTTCCTGTTCTGGAAGCTGAATCTTGCTTATTTTTGCTTTAGTTTCTATGTTTACAGTTCAATTTGCTTTACTGTTAAGTGATTATGATTCTGATCTGATGTGTCTCTAATGGTTCTGTGGGAGGCTGAATCTACTTGCATCTAAAGAGCCTAAAACACTTTACATCTGCAAGTATTGACCTAGTTTTTTGCTGGTATGGGAGTAATTGTATTGTTTTATTCCTAATTAGGGAGTTCATTAAGCCACCTACACTGGGACTGGTAATGTCTTTTTGAATATACATTGCAGTAGTGAAAGCATATATTTTTTAACAGTTCTTGTTATACTCAGACCACAGAAAACACTCGAGGTTCTGAACCTTTTCAGTGCTCGCCCTTGCTCAGGGATGGCCTTTTGCTCTTGGAGCAAAAGGGAGAACTGTGCCCTAATTCTTTTATATGACTGGCTGGCCTGTGGAATGATGCTGTCATGGCACAAGGTTTTATAGTCAAAACCCATGCGATCTTTATTTTCACACTGCGGCACTGCCCGCACAGAAGTGGAAGCGCTGGAGCTTGTTATTTTTGGTCACTTGGGCTCCATGAGTAAAAAACTACCCAAGGATGTTAGAGACTACATGATGAGATGCATAATAACTGCTGTGTGGACTTGATCATAGCAAATGAGGAGAATATGTATATGTATGTTTTTTTTTTTTTTTACGAACAAAGTAAGAAGCGGTGTAGCAGAAGTTGTAGTTCATCCTTACTGTTTCTGATGTTCTTTACTGGAGAAATATGTGCAGGGATGTAGTGCTGGGTGATGGCACCCATTGCTCCGTTCATGCAAGTAGATGTTTCACATTAATACACATTAAATGAGCAAGAACTTTGTTTGAAATGGTTTAAATAGCAAATGAATAATTTAAAATTCTTTTGCTAGTAACTTAGTTAGCTTTTCTTCCTAAGACTAATTAACTTGTCACTGAGCACAGCAGCAGTATCAAACGGTTATTTGCATTTCTCGCGATTCATGTTTCATTAAATCGTACGAACGCATAGAACTGTCCAACCATTGTTGAATAGCAGATTAATTTAGGATGTATAAAATGCAAAGAATTTAGTTAATCTCTGAACATGCCCATCAGAATTTCCCGCTGGTTTTCAGATTTGACTCTCGGGCATGCTTAAATTGGGTTTTCAGCTCCACGCTCCGACTTCAGAGGTAATAACTAGTCACCGCAGTTGTTCTTGGTTAAGTTTTCTCTCTTATACAGGGTGCTCCCAAAATACTCATAGGTGTTTCTTCTTATTAGCTCAACATGACAGGTCATTAGTTTTTGTGTTTTATTTGTATAGTTCATGCCAAATCAAAGTACCACCGGTGGTTAGAATCCTGGGAACATGGACCCCTATTGAAGTACTAACAGTCTCAGCCAGCAGTCCTCTTTATGTTTTTACTTCAGCTGAAAATGACAGATTTTGATGCATTTTAGGCAGGTGCGCGATGCTCTGAGAAGCTTTTTATTTTTTTTACAAATCTTCTGGGACCATATGGTTGTTTCCTCGCCGCAGAGCTCTATCTCTCTCTGATCACCACATGCTTGCTGCCCATAATTCTGAGAAAGATGGAAAACATTTCTCACATTCATTAATAATTCAGCTCTACTGATTAGAGGAATCGATTTAAGTATTAAGCATGGTCCATTCTCACAGCTTTGACAGATTATTTTAGCTCATCTGTCAACAAATAATTGATTGAGTAAATTACGACTACTCTGTCATTGATAAGCAATTTGTTATGTTAACTATATTAAATCTCTTATTGAACCATTAACTAGCTGGACTCAGGCGATCAAAGTGTCTTGAGACAGCAGAAGGTAATAAGGCAATGGGCAAATCTGAAATATTAAAAAAAAGGGAAATCCCCCACTTGCACTGTAGAGATAATTAAAAGTGGCATCATAAATTAACCAGAAGTTTGATGGGGCAAAAACTATTTTTTTCTCTAAAAAGGACAAATGACTTGATTTAACTTTTGTAGTTGTTCCCTCTAATTGTCAGGTTGTGAAATGACAGTAATTCAGGACTTAATTGCACACGGCCAGGTTTTATTTGATTGTGTTTTCAATCATATCTGATAACCCTTAATTTACTTGTTTTGCACAAGCGTATTTAAACCCTAAATGACCCATTCAGTCCTAGCAGGAGAGTGAAAATGCCCACGTTCAGTTGGTAGCCATTTCAGAGTGAGCACACGAGAACTCACAGTGACAGTGCTTTGTTGGATACAATTCAAGAAAAAAGCTTGGCATAAATGGTCTAGTTAAATTAAAACAAGTAAGCAATCATTTAAGATTTCAAAGGAACCTTAATGCATTTGGTCAGGCTGTGTTCCTCCTCATCATTGCTCTCTGTAGTAGAAGCTGCAGAAAACCAAGTGATGTTGATCCAGAGAGAAAAAAAGGGAAAGAGAGCAACATAAAATATTTAGCAACATAAAAGAGCAAAACGTACTTTGTTTTTGTAAAATACATGTTAATCTAATTGGTGTGATGTGTTTTTAGAAGATAAACAAGTGAGATTACATTTTTTTTTTTTTTTTTTGGCAGAAGATAGTGACATTAAGGGGAAGTCATGAAATGTTGCACCTTACACAACTTCTTTACGCTACTTTGCTGGTTTCCAGTTAATTGTGCCAAGAATGGTTTGCATCACTGAAATGGTAAATTGTGTTGCACTTTGTGGCTGATTACACTAATAAAGATTGATAAAAATTAAAAAAGACAGTTCTAATCAGTGTAGAAATTGCATTTTCAAAATGTTGCCTTTTTCGCGCAGCTTTGATCAGCTCTTTCTCAAATAATTTTTTTCCCATCAAGTCATAATTAAGATAGCACCACAGAGAAAGTGATAAGGGGCTTGTGCAGAAAATAACTTTGCATTTTGTCCCGTGTTTCCTTTTATCTCCTAATTCCCTGATTTGCTCTAGTTTTTTTTTTTTTTTTTTTTTTTGCAGAGTACGTTTAAGTTCAAGTCGGAGAGTGATATCCACTTAGCAGAGCATCACAAGCAGGTGTTGTACGACGGTAAAGTGGCAGGCTCCATCGCCTTCACCTACAACGCCAAGGCCACCGACGCACAGCTCTGCCTGGAGTCCTCCCCTCGTGAAAACGCCTCTATCTTTGTGCACTCACCGCACGCCCTTATGCTTCAGGTCAAATGCATTACTCTTAATCTGTACACACCACCTGAGGCGATGATGAATTCATTCATGATTTTTTTTTCTTTCTTTTTTATTCAGTCAACATGAATATTGTTTTTATTTTTTTAAATTCTGACTTTGTCTGTTCGCAGATATTGTACCAAACATGGTATTTGTTTCTGTTTTGCTTTTATCCTCACAGGATGTGAAAGCCACAGTTACACACTCCATCCACAGTGCCATCCACTCTGTTGGTGGTATCCAGGTACTCTTTCCACTTTTTGCTCAGTTGGACTTTCATCAGTCGAAGGACAGCCAGGTGGAAACCACAGTCTGGTAGGTTAATATGTTGTGTTACCATGCAGAGCACAACCTCGTTTGATGCAGTAGATGGTAAACACTTGACACTATGGCAGGTGACAAAGCTCTCTGGTTGGATCTGTTGATGGCAGGTTTCCCTCCAGCGTTCTTTTAGGAATAGTTTGTGCAGCTGTCTGAGTCTGAACAGCTCGTTTCTGGGTCTTTACAAGGGAAAAGAGTTGCAATAATTTATTTGCATCTAAATTATTAAATTGATTAAAGTAGGACTAGGAGTATCTCATGCATGTCGATTTGTCAGAAGAATATTTAAAAATGTCCCTCCAAAGTAGCATTAAGTAGCTGTTGGACTTATTGCAATGTACCCCATTTAAGCTTAAAATTCTGACTAGTAAGGGCTTCTTGACTGGTTTGTAACTGGATTGCAAAAACTTGTAACCAGTATACGAATATGATCATCCGTATACTGTTATCTTTGATCAGTGTACAGTTGGAATTTAAGAAGTTCTTGATTTCATGCTGGCAAGATGTTGCATTAAAGTCTTTTGTTTTCACCATAAAACTAACCTTTCCTACATCTAACCAGTAAGTTGTTGTGCTTAGACGTATGAAAAAGGGAAGTCGCATAATGCAAAGCACGCAGCAAATATTGCTCTCAGTACCTATAAACCGAGGCAATTGAGCAAGTAATCTGTTAAAGAAGTTTTATTAGTCTGAATCCTGTAATAGTGTTTATAAAGCTGTAGTCCATTTTTCATTATTATCTCTACTCTCATTCCTCTTATCCTGAGCTTGTCTTCCCAAAGCTTTGCGGTTTGTGTGCTGCTTGGATTCTTAGCTCTGCTTTAATACTGCAATAGTTTAATGACATGAATGGATGCAGGAGTGGCCACATAGGAGCACAAATCCCTGATCCCCAAAGCTCTCTGCCTCCAAAGACTCCACTCCTCTCTGCTCTCCGTCCCTCTTCTCCTCTCGCCAGCGTGCGTTCCCCTTTGGTTCACAGTGTGCACCCCTACCAAACACGGCACTTTGTCGTTGCTTTAAGACTTAGTCCCTCTAAAGCCTGCTGGGCATTGGAGTTCAAAGCTTTTTCAGCAATTAACTTCCTATTTGGCCTGAGGGTTTGCTGTTCCCAACAGCATGCACAGATAGTGATTTTTTTAAAATATCCTTTTAAAAATAATTTTCTCTGATACTTCCCGTTGCCAACCTGAATGCAAAGCAGGAGTGAAAAGACATCAGTCAGCCGTGTTCTACCACACTGGAAGAAGGCTGGTTACTTGTTAACTACCTGGAAGCACAAAGTTGATTGTCACACATTTCTATTTTTGCTTTGCTTTGTTTGTAATAGCAAAGGTGAATTACTGGAGAAAAGGGAACTTCGAACTGACTATGCACCAACATACGAGATTGCACATCAGACTGGATGAGTATGCATTCTGTGTGCACACTATATGGGCGAGTCTGTGCAGGAGTGATTGTGGCCTTGTTTTTGTTGAGCTGGAGTGGAAACCATTGGAGGATGTGCGGGAAAGCCGATTAAGAAGTGTCACCGAGCACCACTGTCTTTCAGCCAAAAGGCTTCAGCAGAAAAGCTGTACAACAAAGAAACATTTTCTTCACTGCAACGCCTTGGTCCTTTGAACCCCCCACTCCCGTATGAACACACACGCACACAGTCTGTTAGAGTTCACCTCAAAGACCTCCCCTTGCTCCCTAGAGGACTCATACAAAACCCCAACTTTCTTTTCTGAATTTGAGAGGGATAAAAAGGCTGGGCTTAATTCCCCAGCTGATTGCTGACCTCCTCTGAAAATGACCTTGTTGTTTTCCCTTGGCTGCACTGTCTTCCCGTGCTGCAAGAGTTAATTTATTATCCTTTTGCTATTTTTATCACTGCAACAATGCAAATGGAACTACCACAACAATCAAATTTTCTGTATGACTATATGATTTAATTCCTGCTAAGAAGTCTTGTGAAAGCCGTTGAGTTTTTACCTTTTCTTTTCTTTTCTTTTTTTTTCTTTTTTTTTTCTTTTTTTGCAGTGCCACTCTCCTAGCCTTTTTGGTTGAGCTACTGAAGAGTTCTGTGGCCATGCAGGAGCAGATGCTGGGAGGAAAAGGCTTTTTAGTGATTGGGTACCTGCTGGAGAAGGTATGGAGCCAATCTCATCAAAGTTTCACCGACAAACCCATTAAGGGTCTATATCATTAAATTAAAATGTTAATGAAAAGTTAATTTATCTCAGCCATTCAATTGATTAAATGTGGAACTCGTATAATGTGCAGACTTTAACAAATAGAGACATTTCGAGGCTTGAATTACTTTTAATTTTGGTTATTGAGATTTACAACTGATTAAAATTCGAAATGATCTTCCTCATGAAATCCGAATATTAGACCAATTAGATTTTTAGACAAGCCACACAGTAATGTGTCAGACTACTGATTTGACAGTTGTCTCCTAAACAGCATTTGAGTCTCACAAGGAAAATAAAACAAAAAAGCTGTCTGTTTAAGGTGCCACATCCAAACATAGCACTGGAAAGTTAAGTGGAAGGAAAAAGTGTGGTAGAAAGTGTGCACATACTATAGAAAGAGCCACTATCTTGATTGCAACTATTGTAAAGCAGTTGTTGCAGTCTTGATACAATGCTTGATTGCTAACCAAGCATTAGCAAGAGAAATTTTGATGGTCTTCATCTTAAATGTATTGATGCAGCAATTCATCCAAAAGAAGCCATGACCAAGTAACAAGTGCTTCCATTCCACGGATTTCCTCTCTACTGCGAAGTCCACATTTATTAAAAATATTTTATAATGTCAGAACTTCTGAGAAACTCATTTTCAGCTAGCAGTTACGAAGCAAGTCACAAAGTAAAAAGGAAATAAACTTTAAAGATGTATCTTATATGTCTGTGTAACAGCAAAAGGTTTGGATACTTATGGACACATTTTAAAATTATTACTCTTTTTATTAAAAACATTATAGATTCTTATGTAGATAAAAAAAAAAAAAAAACTTGATTTAAACAGTTAAAAAATAAGCCGAAATGGACAAATATTGGAAAACGTGAAGCGCTTTTAATTATATACAGGTTTCACTTTTTGAGTTGAATTACTGTAACTTTTGCATTACATTCCTTGTTTATTGAGGTCCTCTATTTCTCCTGAATTCATATCAAGTTCCAATTTAAAAAGTCTCACATCAGCTTTAAAAATCTCTTTTTGCACATTTGCTTTCATTAAAGTGTTTGAACGATATGCGATTTCATGTAGGCCAACAGTCTGCGAGTTTCCAGCTGAACACCCTATTTGCTATCTCTCATTGTCCAGGTACGCTGTGTCTTGTCTGCGTCTTGTTCCATCAAGGTGCACAGTGTCTTGTCTGTACTCTCAAAGCCCTGTCAGTAGTCTAATCTTCCATTGCCTGTGGCAAAGTCCTGTATGTTTCTTTGAACCGAACAGAGGAACATGTCCCCCACTTTCTGCATCAGTCTTTATTTACCCATTTTGTGATTCAGATCTAGCAGCCAGCATCCCCAGAGTGCTGTCTCTTTCAGAGCACTGAGATATGACTCCACTTTGTCACTCAGTGACTCGCCTGCCTGCTGGCTTCAGATGCTGTAAACTAACAGCCAGGCATAGTCGGCACCTGAGAGCTGCCGTTTTTTCTCCCTTCCCTCCTGCTGCCAGGTTTCACACTTTCACATATCACACCATCTGTTCATGATCTGTTTATGCCACAACTTCCCTCCTCCTTTGGCCTTCATTTTCCTTCCTTCCCTCCTTTCACAAAGTCCCCACCTGGAATGACAATAAGCACCAGGCGTGAGTTGTAATGGCACTTGTCACATGCAAAATTGCCTGTAAAAGTGTCCATTATATCCTTATTTCTTGTTTTATTATATAATAATGAGATAAACTAGCTGAGTAGATCAATTTCTCACCAGTGTTATAATGACAAATTGATACTGCAGTATTTAAGACTTGAGACCAGATTTTTTTTTATATATATATATATATATATATATATATATATATATATATATATATATATATATATATATATATATATAT